ACACAGGAGCAGTCACTCAGACATTTTATAAAACACAGGTTATCATTAGAAAGGCCTGAACAGAGCCTTGGGCTCTACACTTCTAAAAGCCTGTGTGTCAGTGTGGGTCTTTCCTCAAAGCAAGAAAATATAACACCCTACCAGGCTTTTATTCTGACAGTCACACGCATATAGAGATTAAAAGCATGATAGAATAATTCAATTATATCAGCCCAATGGGGTGAAGTTCTTGATTAAAAGATCTGTACTCCCCCAAAAAGTTTATAGACATTTCAGCTTGTCCAGTCCCTAAATTCTCATAAGCCTTTTGCACTTGAAGCAACTGTCACGTCATTGTTCTGCCGCTGCTTTGCTGTTATCATTAGCTCATATTCTGTCTCCCAGTCTGCTTTCCCTGAGTTTCTGGAAAGTATCTTATTCATCTGCCTCTATATTGACAAATCTAGAGGTGACTTGGTATGAATTTAGCACTCTGTAAGTGACTATTGGGCAGATGAAACAATAAAAAAGGAAGTGCTCAGTTTTAGGCGTGACATCTACTGAACTGCAACAGAGATGAGATTTGCCCAAGGTTTTCCTTTGGCACCATGACCAAACCTACCAAATGACAAGAAGTCTCGTCTGTGGGCTAAGCATTTGTCCCAGAGTTTTGCTGTTGTTCTTGCTCTTGTTGTTTTTCTAATCAACAAATACGAGAAGCCCTTGACTGTATTAGTTCTGCTGTACTAAAGCATCAGGGCGCCTTTCTCCACACTTCTCCTTGCCAATACTTCCCTAGACATTGTTTTTATACAATGAGGTCCTTGAAGCTACAGAACAGTCGTAACTGAGAAAGAAGGAAAGCCTGGTGACCACAGATTAGAAATCATTTGATTGGGGATTAAGGAAAGTTGACTTTTAAGTCCTGTCTGTAGAGGAAACAAATATTTGTCTACAGAAAGGGAGATATGCCTACATGAGGCATGGATGCAGGAGGAGAAGAGGGCAGATGCTCTACAGAGTTCAGAATGCAATTATACTCTTCTGCTTAAAGTAGTGGTGGCTCTGTAATAGAGTTTGAAGGATGGAGATAGAGACAAAGTCTCTCATCAGAGCAACGGACTGAGCCCCCAAGGTCCAGTTGAAGAGCAGAAGAAGGGAGAAGATGAGCAAGAGTGGACTGTGAGGAGTTGGTCCATCCACTGAGACACTGTACCTGTTCTAATGAGAGCTCACCAAATCCAGCTGGACCAGGACTGAATGAGCATGCGATCAAACCAGACTCTCTGAATATGGCAGTAATGGGGGCTGACTGAGAAGCCATTGATAAAGGCACTGGGACTTGTTTTCTACTGCATGTGCTGGCTTTTTGGGACCCTAGTCTGTTTGTCTATTTGGATGCAAAAACTTCCTAGGACTGGATGTGGGGGGTGGACTTCCCACAGGGCAGGGTTCACTGCTTTCTCTTAAGGAGGGAGGGGGAGGAAGGAGGGTGAGTGGGGGAGTGGGAGGGGAATGGAAGGAGGGGAGAAAGTGTAAAGAAATTAAAATTTAAAAAAAATGAAGTAGTGGTGGTCACGTTCAGTACTTTTACAGGAAAAGGTATGGTTCAATCAATGTTCCTAGTAGATAAACATTTTTTTTAAATTGTATCTTTTATTTTTATTACTTTTAATGTTATGTATGCCTCTGTGTCTGTACTTGGATAAGAGTATGAAAATGCAGGTACATGCAAAGGCTAGAAGAAGGTGGTGGATGCCCTAGAGTTGGAGTTACAGGAGGGTGTGAGCTTCCTATCATAGGCACTGAAAACAAACTCCAGTCCTCTGAAAAAGCAGAAAGTGCTCTTAATCATGTAGTCATTTTTCCAGCCCCTTACTAGAGGGAATTCCAGGGAATAACTGAGCATTTTAGATGTAGCTGGAGATCCAGCATAACTGTTTTTAGCCTGTTATAGAGTGATGCTAATGTGTCTGTGGCCGTATGTATTCAGTCTTACCTGATCTTGGAAGCCAAGCTGGATTGAGTCTGGTTAGTACTTGATGTGGCAGTGTTGTGACCATTCCCACTGTTACAGCTTATATGAATTTGTGAAATCCTGGGGCTGTTCATTTTGAGCTGAGTTGCCACAGGTTTATAGAATAACAATACCAGTCTGTGACTAGAGACTAAAAGCCTGACTGATGCTATAATCAAATAAATTAGAGGAAAAGATATAATACAAAAGCAGATGCCCAACACTATGGTTTAGATGTGGCTCACTTGTCTAAGGGTTCACTGCTGAAAATTTGATTTCTGTGATGCTCATGGTAAGTGATGATGTAACTGGAGGGAGATGGCCCTAAGAGAAGGTGTGAGCTTCCTTACCTCTGAAAATTAGACTCTGAAAACAGAGCTGTGTTTGCAGATGTGACCTTGTTATACTAATCTGGAAAGGGCTTAGCAAACTGTCTTCATCTACGTCCCAGGACAGCAGACAGCATTTCTGCCTCTGTCTATTTGAATTCATGCTACATGTGAGATTTCCTGAGACAGTCAACTGAAGCATTAAAACTGCATGAGAGTCTTCCTGAGAAGCCTAACGATAGCATGTTTCATATGTGAGTCCCATCATAAGCACCAAGTCACCCTCTCTCCTCACAGGCTCTGATTTCTGCATAGTGGACTTCATTTTCCACAGCCTTCATACTTCTCCAGAAGGAGAAAAGCTACGGTCCGAAACATAGGGTGTTTTTGCTGAACCATCATTATACCAAAGACAGACTTCACTTCAGTAATATCATGGAGGAGGGCAAGTTTTAATCCATACTTATTTTTAAAGTAATTGATTAAAAGAATAAAACCAGATCCACAATATTACATATAACCATCAATTCAACTAAAAAAAACACACACATTAATGATCTGAATGTGAGACCTGAAACTTTGAAACTGTTAGATGAAAACACAGGTAAAACACATCAAGATACGGAATCCAAAAGCACCAAAGCCATCCCCAAAACTGACACCAAGGAAAGAATCGCCATGAACTTAATCAGTTGTCACAACAAAGAACACAATGGTTAGGGTAAGGAGAGACTGGAGACTGGGAGGAAAAATTGGCCGCCTGTCCATCTGACATAAGATTAATATCTGAAACTGAACAAGAACTAGAAAAGAACCCTTCAGTCAATGAATGGACTAATCAACCAGATAGTTCTCAAGGAAACAAATGCAATTTTTTTTTTTTTTTTGGTTTTTCAAGACAGGGTTTCTCTGTGGCTTTGGAGCCTGTCCTGGAACTAGCTCTGTAGACCAGGCTGGTCTCGAACTCACAGAGATCCGCCTGCCTCTGCCTCCCGAGTGCTGGGATTAAAGGCGTGTGCCACCATCGCAAATTATTAATACATATTTTTAAATATTCAAAATTTTAAACCATCAGGGAAATTCAAATTATTAAAGATGTAATATTCCATCTCACTCCAATCAAAATCACTATCCTCAAAAAACAATTCACTAATTCTTGCAAGGATGTGGAAAATGTGGAAACCTTATACATTACTATGATCATGTAAACTGGTGCCATCACTATGGAAATCAATAGGTAGGTTCCTCAAAAGAATTAAAAATATAAATACACTAAAAATAGAAGTAAAACATGATCCAGAGATGCTGCTCACTCCTGGGATATACCTGAAAGGTCCTAAGTCAACATGCAGTAGAGATATTCAATCATCTATATTTATTGATACAGTATTCCTCAGAGTCAAGGTCAGGAACCAGTCTAGAGTCCAGCAATGGATGAAGAAATGTGGTACAGATATACAGTGGAATTTTGCCCAATGTAAAAAGTGACGTGAAAATACAGACATCATCAGAAAATGAAGTTCATTGTGCTAAAGGAAGTAAATCAGACTCAGGAAGACAAATATCACATGATTTCTCTCATATGTAGTATGTAGATTAAATTTGTGTTTGTGTGTGTGTATCTCTGTGTGTGTCTCTCTCTCTGTCTCTCTCTGTCTCTCTCTCTTTCTCTCTCTCTCTCTCTCTCTCTCTCTCTCTCTCTCTCTCTCTGTCTCTCTCTCTTTCTGTGTGTGTGTGTGTGTGTGTGTGTGTGTGTAGTTTTAGAACATGAAAGAACAAATGAGACCAGAAGAGGAGAGAAAATGTCTAAAGCAGGAGGGAGGGACAAGTGAGGGCGCAGAATATTTGTGTTATGAAAGCACAAAGTGGTCTACCTTGAGAGAGTAAGAAGACCTTCAGAAAAGGGGAGGGACAATGAAGGGTATGAGAATGAGGTAAGAATAATATATATGCATATACATCATATGTCTCTGATGATATATATATATACCAAACTGCCATTTTGAAAATGTCACTTATATTATTCTAACAAAAACTGTAAAAGTATTTTTAAGATAAGGAGGAGAGCAAGAATGACAAGGAGAACCAGAGTAAAAGGGAAATAGAGATCAAGAATGAACATCTACATTCTCCCACACCACAGCCAGTTTAACAGAGAACCTGGTTTCATAGTCCAGAGCAGGTTTAATAAATCACAGTCCACTGGCCAGATTCATTCCCATTCTTAATAAAGTTTTATTGGCACACATTCATTTCCTATGGGTTCTTTGGATCTTCAGTCTTTATAGTAGTTTCAACATACTATCCACAAAGTAATTACTATCTGGACCTGAGAAACTTTGCTGACCCTTGACCTAAGGAACTTAGTTTTATTTCAATTCTGTATGTTTCCCTAAATACCTTTGAGTAAGTCTCCTTCACGCTTTAGTTTCTTTAGTTGAAGAATGTTTAATCTTTAATCACCTAATGAACCACTGCCTCAGATTTATTTTCCCACTGTTTTGTAAGCATTAGCATCTAGTGTGTTGGTTTAGACTTATTACTATAACTGACTTGAGAAAAGGAAAGTGGTTTGGGGTCTTATGAATTCTCCTTGGCCCAAGGCTCTAGTTGAATACTTAGAAGGTCTATGGAGGGAAATTGAACTAATCTGAGTTATCTTTCTTTTGCTACAGAGAGATCTCTCAAAATGATGTGTTGGAAGTAATAGAGGCAGATGTGTTCTCCAACCTACCCAAGTTGCATGAAATGTAAGCAACAGTACAGTATGTGTGTGTGTGTGTGTGTGTGTGTGTGTGTGTGTGTGTATGCAGAAGAGGGTCATGATATCATAAAAATCCCTAAAGTTCTTTTGTACTCCTGGGAAGCTTTGACTCCGTTCTGTCCTCAGATCCATAGATCATCATTACAAGATACCAGAGGCAGCCTAAAAGGGACTGTCATTTGTCTCTGGCAGGAGACACAGGCACCAACCTCTACTTTAGCTTTATTATGTTTGCTGACTCCCTGAGTTGGTTTTCTTCTCGTTGTTTTATGTCACAGGCTCTAGAACCCCTGTCCTACAACAATGGGAAAACTCCTCCATCCCATTACCTTATTCGATGTTACAACCACAAAAGCCAAAATAAATCCCACTCAATTTGACTGAGGCTGGATAAGCCTATACTGATAACTGCCTCTGCATATGCATGAAGGCTCAACCAAGACACAGAACCATCTGAGATGTCAGTTTCTCATCTGCAAAACCAGAATGAAATCCACACTCCCAGACTTGCTGTGATGAATAAAGTACATGACAAACATCAGTTCAGTCTAGCGTATCAACCAGCAGAGCAGCTATATTGTAATGGCCCTTGGTAGTTCTACTAGTATGTACAAACGTACTTCCTCTTGACATTCTAGTTGTATGCAATGCATAGATCTAATTATGTTCCATGTCAGTGTCTAATTACTGGAAGATAATTTATTGACTGATAGGATGTCAAGGCCACAGAGACTCTCAAGACTGTCAGTTCAAAGAATGTTCAAAGTATGTTCTATCTTTGACTATGAATGCAGGAAATTATTTGCTATTCAATAAGGAAGAGAGAAAAATATTTTATGATCAAGAAAGATTAGGAAATAAAAGGAAATAATCTCATTCACCAGTAGAAAAACTCTGAAGCTATGTAATGCTAAGATACATTTGGTATTGCCAAGAAAATTTTGTGCGGTCTATATGTATGTATGCATGCATGTATGTGTGTGTGCATGTGTGTGTGTGTGTGTGTTTTAATGAGTTTATTTAGAAATCACAACCTGCCCATTTTGACCGACTCTTTTTTTCTTCTATCTACCCATTCTGCCTCCTTCCTGATTCCTCCTCATTTTCATTAAAGTCTTGTTCCCTTATTCTCTCTCCACCTGGCCTAATCTTACCCTAGTTAGGAAAAGAGACGTTATAGGACCGCAAAGTCCACAAAGACTGTCAGAGAAATGAACCAAAGCCACAGTGTGAAGCACCCCGCGTTGCTATCCAGTGGGCAGTGGGGCTAATGAAACAGGTCTTGCATCTCTTCCTTACATGGAGAGGCACTCAACCCCATACAACACTAACTGTCTTTAAAATGATTAATTGCCTTGCACTTGGCTCTGGGTAGCTACAGGTTACTGCAACATAAAAGCTAATGAAACAGGAAGGAAGTAATTAACAACAGTATCTCAGCAAATATACATTGATCCCGCAAGATGAGAAAAAAAGACAGGTTCTCTGCGGGAATCTAAATGTGAATAGTCTCACTTCCAGACTATTGATCAGGACACAACACAGGCTAAAACCACCGTGCATAAGTCACCATTCCCCATCTGCTGTGAGGAGCCAATTCAGTCTACAGAATGAGGGTGGAGGGGGGACTGGCCTCCTGCCAGGTGCTAGAACTTGGTGCGTTAAATCAGAGATGGAAGTGGCTTTTCTCCCAGATTTTGTTATTCTTTGCCATTTCTTTTCCATTTCTCTGGTCTTTCTGCTGCCTCACCTGCAGCCCTCCCGCCCCCTCTCATCTTTTCACCCTTTCTGGCTGGTCTGAACGTCCTTCTCTTGGCTTCAGAGCTGTCACTAGTTCAGGTCCCCCATGATAGTGTCGCTTGACCCTTCTTAGTTCACCCTGGTTCTAGGAGATTCTTACTAGTAAAATCCTCAGCTCTCTTCATGGTTAAAAAAAGCATTGGAGGATGGGTACCAAGAGATGAGTGTTAAATGGACAGGGTTGGTACAATAAGGGGTCCTGCATGCTCGCTCAAGATTTGCTGAAATGACAGCTGGATAGATGAATAAATGGGTAGATGGAGGGATGGATGACTTGATTATTTACTGGCAGGCTCTACATAATATGAAAAATACCATGATACTCCTTGTTGTTCAAGTCACTTACATGTATCTCCCTCATTTACAGTAGAATTGAAAAGGCCAACACGCTGCTGTACATCAATCCCGAGGCCTTCCAGAACCTCCCCAGTCTACGATACCTGTAAGAGCTCATACATTATGGCCTTCCTTCTGTTATTAAATTATGCATCCATATTTTAGCAAAATCTGCAGTTGCTACTGTAGGAATAATCAATCACTTTTTCATCAAGAATGTTACCAAAGCAAAGGTGGGGGACAGATAGTAGTGAGTTTGGTTTTATGTAATGAGAAAATTCCACTAATGTAATTGCATTATGTTTTCATTTTCAAATGAGGAATATCTTTCTTTCACACTTACAGGATTGTCGGGCAGGCCTCTTACAGAACTAGGTCATAACTTAGGGTTAATGAAATGCTATCAAACTTTGTTCTTTCATTTTGCAACCTTGACTTCTAAGATATTGTTTGTCTCACTTGTTTTGCATTTAAATATTTTTTCTCAGAGAGAATGGATTGTTTTACTTTGTACATCTTGGTCAATAACTGTCATGGTATTTTATCAGCAGAGAGATTCCTGATGTCTGAACTTTATCCTACAACCTGTCCCCATCAGCAGACACAGTTTCCTACACTCAAATGACTTTTACATTAGCCAAGGGCTTGACAGATACTTGAGTGTTATGATGAGGTCTTACAAAGCAGCAGACAAGAATCTAGACCATGGAGTCGAGCTTCCTGAGTGCACTTGCTAGCTGTTTATCAAAAGCAAGAAATTAACCTCAGGCCGGGCGATGGTGGCGCACGCCTTTAATCCCAGCACTCGGGAGGCAGAGGCAGGCGGATCTCTGTGAGTTCGAGACCAGCCTGGTCTACAGAGCTAGTTCCAGGACAGGCTCCAAAGCCACAGAGAAACCCTGTCTCGAAAAACCAGAAAAAAAAAGAAAGAAATTAACCTCACATGTTACTTCCTCATCAAGAGAATGGAAATAACAATGCATATGGGTTATTAATGTAACAATACTGAATAGAGGCTTAAGGCAACAACCGTCTATCATTTTCTACCTATCTCGGTTGTTCAATCAAATCAGTCTGTTGACCAGGGCTTGGTTTGCCTGACCTTAGCTAAGCTTACTCATGCTAGTCAGCAAGTCAATCTAGAGTGAGCCATTCTCAGTGTCCCTGTTGGAATGACTCAGCTGTCCTCTCAGGAATGATCATCTCCACCGTGTTAGTGTAGGGTTATTTTCACTGAGATCTCAGAGTTTCAAGAGAAACATCTGAAGAATCCAAGTTTCTTTGGCGTACACCCTGAATATCACACCATCTCTTCTGGTGCATTTTATTAGACACAGAAGTGAAAAGAACCAACCCGAATTCAAGAGGCAGAGAAATAGGTGTCACTTCTTGATAGTAGAAACTGTAATTGTGATATAAGGGGTGTGGAAAGTAAAATACACTTGAGGCCACCTTTGCAATCAATCCAGAGTATATAAAAAAGTTTTTCATTGTGCCTGTGACATGGGGCAAAAATTCCAAGGACCACTCAATAAACCCAGCATCCGAATTTGAGATTCCTCTAAGGCCAGCCTATGACTGGCTGGAGAGAAACAGTTCTCATGCAGCGCCCCTCTCTGATTTCTGCTGGGAGCTTTTAAAGGCAAAAACCATATCCTTGTTGACAGCTGCAGGGAGGGGAAGGGGAGCAAGCAAGCAGTTTAGTGGAAGAATAAAGCAGAAGTTAACTACACCAGTTTGACCTCAAGTCCCTGGGACAAGGTTGGGCAATTTTCTAAGGGAGTTTCCCATAAGAAGGCATGTAAGAGGGGTGGGTGTCAGTTGTGAGTCAGACCATAGATGGCTGAAGCAGGGACAAGATGGAAGGACCTGTCTCACAGGGACAAGATGGAAGGACCTTGGCCCTGTCTCACCTATCATTCAATAAATATTATCTGCTAATAATATTATTCTCTGGCCCTAAATTTTGGTTCACACTAACTAGGGTTAGTAATGATGGTAAAAGGTACTGAGCCATTGGTGGACCTCAGGTCTTGGAGTGGGAACTAAGGAATAAGATTCAGCAAATGAGAGTCCATCTACTCTTCCATGCCTTATCTATGACAGGAGTCCCAGGAAGGTTCTATAGAAGAAAGAAGGTTGATTTCTTCTGAATTCGTGCCACAGGCAGGGTAGCTTCATGGGCACACAGCATGTGCAGTTACATGGCTGCTTTCGTTCTTCCTTCTTCCTCCTTTTTCTAGAAGATAAATGAGCATAATGTGGGATCGTAGACTCTGCCATAGCAGAACAAAGGAATTCTAGAAGGTGGAAAGGAGTTCCTGGGACAGATCAGTTGGCAAACCACTCTGGTCTGAGCTCTGCCGCAGGGGATAGATTCCTGAAGAAAACCTCAGGCACACATTTCATAGCTCCTCACACAATGAATAGCCTGTGCAAACAGCACAGTGTAGCGAGAGAGTGAGGACGGAGAGGTCAGCTCCAAACTCTGAAACTCAGCATCTGGAATTTGACTCTGGGATTGAAATTAGAGCTCAGTTGTAGAGTGCTTGCCTAATGTGTGCAAGGGCTTAGATTGGTCCTAAGTTTCAGGGGAAAAAAAACCTAGAATTTGACTGGTATTGGTCCACACATCATGGCCAGCACCATTCGTTCTTCATAAAGAGGACCCTGATGAACTAGGAGGATGTACATATGGAAGTCACTGTCCAGCAAGGGAAGGGGCCAGGGGACCTTCAGTAGAAAAGATGAAGTTCTGCCTTTGATTTCAGAGGAAGATAAAAATCTGTGTCACTTGTCATCAAATCCAGCCTCCTCTTAGTGCCCTTTCTCACTTTGAGGTAAGCAGTTCTCTTGAATCAGTATCAGGGAAAAGCTAGCTTCCTGGACACACAACATGGGAATTTGCTTAAATCCCTGTGTCCTATATTGATCCTCCCTGGTTTCTGTGGCTGTGGACAGAGAGATAGCTGTAGGTGGTTCCAGTCACATTGTGTTTAGGGAGATCATTCCTCACAACATTTTAAACCTGCTTTCTGAAAGAAAAAAAAAATAGCTAGTAAGAGATTGGGAAATATTTCATTTTATTGTCAAAAGATCCTCTTTTACTAATCAAAAAAAAAAAACCCACAGCAAAATGTTGTTGTCTTGATCAGTTCACAATGCTAAACAGTATACCTATGTAGGCTTAAATCACAAGTTAATATTTCTCAATTGTCTGGAGGTTAAATCTAATACCAGGTGCTCCCTGGTTAAGTCCTTCAAGAGGGTCCTCTTTGTGGTGTATAGACAGGAGTCTTCCTACTTGTCTTCGCATGACCTCATAGGAATCTCTAGGAAAAGAAGAGAAAATCCCATGTCTCTACCTGCTTTCATGGCATACTGTGGTTCAGGGTTTCAAAATAAGTTAAGGGAAAACACCCAGTGCATAAGTGTTGAAATAGGAGCGGCAGGGCTGCGTCCCCGGCACCCGGCCACCCGCATGGCTAGCTTATGCCCAGAAATAATTACACGGAAACTGTATTCTTTCAAACACTGCCTGGCCCATTACTGTAGCCTCTTATTGGCTAGCTCTTACATATTGTTCTAACCCATTTCTACTATTCTGTGTAGCCCATGAGCTGGCTTACCAGGGAGGATCTTAACCTGCGTCTGTCTGGAGCGGGAGAATCATGGCGACTCCTTCACTAAGCTTCTTTTTCCCAGCATTCTCTTCTGTCTACTCCGCCTACCTAATTTTCTGTCCTATGAGGGCTGAGGCAGTTTCTTTATTATTACAAGACCCACCTCCATCACATAAGAATGACATAATCACCACAGAATCGTCTCACATCTGGAGTCCTGGGGCTCCCCCATAAGGAATTTGAGAATAGCAATTGTATGTCTTAAGCCTTTTGACTTCTGGCAAAACTAAACCTTCCCCGGATGTGCATACCACTTCAGCATATAGCACAAGATACCCCCAGAAGTTTAAACAACTCTACCCTGCAACAGCACTTCAGTCAGCAATACACCTGCCTCTTCTGGACTCAGACAGCTGCTCTTTGGGAAGATTTTCCAGGCCACTAAGATAGAGCCAAAATGCACAGCGGGTGCTCTTGTCTGAAAGTTTCTATCAGAGAAGCTATGTACAGTTAAGCTCCCATTCTGCATTAGTCAGATCTGGTAACCACAGCAAACCACACAAAGATAGGGGATTCAACAAAGGAGATTCATTTCAAGCACGGAGGCTGGGAAGTCTAAAATCAAGACACGGGAAGATTATGCCACTGTAGAAAGTCTCTTCCTGACTTGAAGATGGCCTCTTTCCCCTCATCCTCACAGAGAGTGTGGCCGCGCACCTAAAAAAGCAAGAATGAACACGAGTAAGCCTCTGATGTTGCTTCTTACAGAGACTAACCCAGTAAGATTACGGTCCCACTCTTATCATCTCACCAAAGTGATCTCACCCCCTCCTAAGTATTTTCTCCAGATACAGTCACGGGAGGATTAGGGATTGATGTCATGAGCAGTATGAGGGACACGTGTTAGATCGTTGTGCCCCTCCTTCCTTGCTTATTCCTCTCATCACAGCAGCCATCCATATAGCTTTATGATTCTGGAGCCAACGAGAAAGAGATACAAGAATTTTACATATTCTTTGGGATGGTGAAAAAGAAGAAGCACAAAATGAATGAAGAAATCCAGTAGTGATGAGGCACTTTGTCTGTTTCTAACAGTGTTGTCGTCATTCTGGTTCTTGCTTTAGTAAGCCGGGATAAATATTTAGCAACAGAGCAACCAAAAGCAGAAAATCACCAGGGGGCGGAGATGAGGCGCCATTTGACTTGAGCATCCTAATTGCTGCACACACACACACACACACACACACACACACACACACTTAGAAGTGTTATAATGAAGCTCTACGTGTTGATTCCATTCCATGCTGTTCCCTTGATAGCATAGAATTCAGGACAACTAGAAATCAGCACTCTTCATCAACGCCTTCAGGCTTCACAGCGGAGCCTGACAGTAGTTAAGAAAGAAAGCTTAGAAATAGTGAAATGCTCTTAAACCAGGAGAATATGCATCAACAGATCCATCTGAATGGACTGTTAAAGCAAT